TTCTCACGATGCCCAATTCCCACCATACCCACATTCCTTGGATTCCCAACATGCCCACTTTTCATATATATACCCACGATGCCCAATTCCCACGATGCTCATGCCCACTTTTCATACATTCCCACGGTGCCCAATTTTCACGTTGCCCAGTTCCCGCCATACCCACTTTTCATACATTCTCACGATGCCCAATTCCTACCATGCCCACCTTCATCATGATGGGAATCCAAAGAAGGTGGGCATGGTGAGAATTGGGCATTGTAGGAATTGTGCATCGTGGGAATGTATGAGAAGTGGGCATGGTGGGAATTGGGAATCGTGAGTAATATTCACTCTCTGCTCATGCAGCTTGAATTATATTACTGTCATTCGCGCTGTCATTACATGAAAGAGTGTTCTCAAAGTAGACTTGATAAGGATAATTTCAAGATATTTCGCATCATGGCTACCCATGGCACACCTAACGGAAGTGAATAAATTATTTACCAGTATCTTCTTACGTGCTATTTAATTCGCATGCAAAATCCAATCGCAAATAGATTAGTATCCTTATAGGTATTCGTGAAAAAAATCATTCTTTCGAAAATTGTTTGTCGAAAATTGGTGAGAACATTCCACGATGCCCCATTTTCACGATGACCAATTCCCACGATGCCCAATTCTCACGATGCCCAATTTCTACGATGCCCAAGAGGGCAACGTTGCCAGGACAAGAGAAAATTTCAGAAAACACAAGATTCACACCATGTTCACTTTTCATAGATTCCCACGATGCTCAATTCCTACGCTGCCCAATTCCTACCATGCCCACATTCCTTGGATTCCCACCATGCCCACTCTCAATATTTTTTCACGATGTCCAATTCCCACGATGTCCAATTCCGACCATGCTCACTTTTCAAACATTCTCACGGTGCCCAATTCCCACGATGCCCAATTCCCGCAACGCTCACTTTCCATACACTCCCACGATGCCCAATTCAAACTATGCCCACCTCCATCATGATGGGAATCCAAAGATGGTGTGCATGGTGGGAATTGGGCATTGTAGGAATTGAGAATCGTGAGCATATATGAGAAGTGGGCATGGTGGGAATTTGGCATCCTGGGAATGTATGAAGAGTGCGCATGGAAAGAATTGGGCATCGTGGAGATTGGGCATCGTGGGAAAGTATGAATAGTTGGCATGGTGGGAATTGGGCATCGTGGGGATTGGGCATCGTGGGAATATATGGAAAGTGGGCATGATACGAATCCAAGGAAGGTGGGCATGGTAAGAATTGGGCATCGTAAGAATTGGGCATCGTGGGAATCTATGAAATGTGAGCATTATGTGAATCTTGTGTTTTTCTCTTGACCTGGCAACGTTGCGCTCTTCGGCAATTTTCGTAATCGTCGTCAAGAAGGTGGGCATCGTATGAATTGGCATTATAGGTATTGGGCATCGTGGAAATTAGGTATCGTGGAATGCTCTCACCAATTTTTGGCAAACAAATTTCAAGAGAATGATTTTTCCACGAATATAAGGATACTATTCTATTCGCGACTGGATTTTGCACGCAAATTCGATAGCACTAAAGAAAATACTGGTTAATAATTTATTCAGCAGAGAATGAAAATTTTCCTCAATCTTCAAATGATTGGGATATCGCACTCAAAAATATGTTAATTGCTCCACCTGAGTGGGTGTTTAGTTTCCCAAAGAATTTTCGATAAAATTAGCCCCAAGCACTTGACAAAATTTGATATACAAGTTGTTTTTGAAATAAGTGCATGAATTCAGCACATCAATATGATACATTCTAAGGAAAATTCCCATGACAACAGATCTTTTTAACTCTTCTGATTAACGAGAGATTTCATCCCGAAAGTTGAACAAAATACGACAAAAAAATCAAGTACGCCACGTTAAAACAATTTAAATGATTGAACTCCGCGTGATTTTGCCTACCACATAGAAATCTGAGCAGAGGTGTAGAACTTTGGGTGGAAGAAGGGGTCCAAACTCAAATTTTATTTTGATCCCTGAATTTTTTTTATTAGTGTCATTCGATAGTACACGTAGACCTTACTCAGTGTTTGAAATATTTGCACTTATTACAATGCCACTCTGTATAGTAAATAATGGTGAAAAAACTTTTGTCTGTAAGCGGCAGGCAAAGTGGCTGCTCTCTGACACTTAACAGGCAGGAAAGTTGTACTCTCTCTGACTAGGCAGAAAAATTTATTGCTATGTAACGTTCCAAGTAATTTGAATTGAATATTTCTCTCATATATAAAATGTCCCATAAAAGCAATGCAATTATCGAAAAATTCCCACTATCATCAACGAAATGGTCACGAAATTTTTCGAATATAAAATTTTAATAATCTCAGCATAACTCTACCTCATATTGAATATCATTGATTGCTACAGAATTTTTCAAATGAAATTTTGATAATCTCATCATAACTCTATCTCATATTGAATATCATTGATTGACAATTAAGTGCTCGTCTCACCTGAAATGCTCATGAAAAACGTTTACCTACACAATATATACCGGGCGTCAACGCCATTGTTTCTAGACTTCCGAAGGTATGAGGTTTGAATCAGGCAGAGGTATAGGATTCCAGAGGATTCTGAAATTGAAAATGTTTGCCATATTCCATACTCTCCTATTACTTCCGGTTTCACCGCAAACGTTCCTGACTTTTGTTTTTCGAATAGGTCAATTTCAGATTAAATTTACCGGGTGTGACGATGTTATTCCAAACGATTACGAAGATATTTATATATGAAGCTGAATGATTGAATGATTGATCCATCAAAACAAGCCAAAGAAGCCAACGGACAAGAAATAAAATACAAGACTGGAAACAGCCGGTATACAAGGTGAAATATGATGTAGAGACAATCATTAACAGAATACAAGGAGGAGATGAATATATGACGTTAAGAAGGGATGATGAAGAAGATGATGGGAATATGAAAGCGGAATATAATGTAGAGACAATCAGTGAAATAAAACAAAATAGGAGATGAAAAAAAATAGTGGAGGAAAAGGGAAAATGAAGGATATAATAGAGATGAAGAATATAAGGAAAATGGAAAAGATAGAGAAAATTGGGAAGATGAAAGATGGGGAAGAAAAAGAATAAGAGACGATGAGTTAGATGGGGAAGATGGAAATAATGAGAAAATGAGAGAGTTTAGAAAGATAAATGAGATGAAGAGGATGAGGAAGATAAGGAAAAAAGGAGGGAGATGAATTAAATGAAGGAGATGAAGAAGATCAAGGAGATAAATATGAAGAATAAGATGATAAAGACGATTAAGAAGATGAAGGAGATGAGAGAGATGAAGAGGATTAGGAAGATAAAAAAGATGGAGAAGATGGAGAAGATGGTGAAGATGAATAAGATGAAGGAGATGAAGAAGATAAAGAAGATAAAGAAGATAAAGAAGATAAAGAAGATAAAGAAGATAAAGAAGATAAAGAAGATAAAGAAGATAAAGAAGATAAAGAAGATAAAGAAGATAAAGAAGATAAAGAAGATAAAGAAGATAAAGAAGATAAAGAAGATAAAGAAGATAAAGAAGATAAAGAAGATAAAGAAGATAAAGAAGATAAAGAAGATAAAGAAGATAAAGAAGATAAAGAAGATAAAGAAGATAAAGAAGATAAAGAAGATAAAGAAGATAAAGAAGATAAAGAAGATAAAGAAGATAAAGAAGATGAAGAAGATGAAGAAGATAAAGAAGATAAAGAAGATAAAGAAGATGAAGAAGATAAAGAAGATGAAGAAGATGAATAAGATAAAGAAGATAAAGAAGATAAAGAAGATAAAGAAGATAAAGAAGATAAAGAAGATAAAGGAGATAAAGGAGATAAAGAAGATGAAGAAGATAAAGGAGATAAATAAGATGAAGAAGATAAAGAAGATAAAGAAGATAACGAAGATAAAGAAGATAAAGAAGATAAAGTAGATAAAGAAGATAAAGAAGATAAAGAAGATAAAGAAGATAAAGAAGATAAAGAAGATAAAGAAGATAAAGAAGATAAAGAAGATAAAGAAGATAAAGAAGATAAAGAAGATAAAGAAGATAACGAAGATAAAGAAGATAAAGAAGATAAATAATATAAAGAAGATAAAGAAGATAAAGAAGATAAAGAAGATAAAGAAGATAAAGAATATAGAGAAGATAAAGAAGATGAAGAAGATAAAGAAAATAAAGAAGATAAAGAAGATAAAGAAGATAAAGAAGATAAAGAAGATAAAGAAGATAAAGAAGATAAAGAAGATAAAGGAGATAAAGAAGATAAAGAAGATAAAGAAGATTAAGAAGATGAAGAAGATAAAGAAGATAAAGAAGATAAAGATGATAAAGAATATAAAGAAGATAACGAAGATAAAGAAGATAAAGAAGATAAAGAAGATAAAGAAGATTGAAAAGATGAAGAAGGTGAAGAAGATAAACAAGAAGATAAAGAATATAAATATAAAAAAGAATATGTTGGATGTTCAAAAGATGTAATTCAATGTTCGACGTGGGAAATAGCCAGGACATTGGTTGTTAATTATTCAGAATGATGTTATGTGCAACAACATATTTTCATCTGAAGGATAATACGAATTTTCAACTTCAGAAGATAATGTTTTCAAATTCTTATCGTGTGTTTAATAGATATAATTCAATCTTCGTCGTTGCACGTAGCCAGGCAAGTAGTTTTTTTTATGATTATACGGAGAAATAATTGATATTTCAACCACATCGAGATTGCGGAATCTCAATGTATTTCTTTACATTTATATATGTATATATATCTGAATTTTTTCATTTTTTAATAGTCCTAATTCACCTGAGAATATTCTTTTCCAATACTAAAAATGGAATTTAGGATTATGGGGATGCGACGAAGAAGATCATGAAATGAAGAAGATTATGAAGATTGGGGAGAGAAAGAAAATGAGAGAGATGAAGATGATGGAAAGAGAAGAGGAAAGAAAAATGAGATATGACACGAAGTCCCTATGAGGACATGAAGACGAGAAAGAAAATATGTAATGAGGAAAATGAAGCAGATGAAGATGATGCATATGGAAGAGATGAAAAAGATATAGGAGATGAAGATGATGAAGGAAATAGGGAAGATCAAGATGAAGAAAATGAGAGAAAAAGGATTCGAGAGATAAGGAAAAGGTGAGAATAAGGAGATGAAGAAGATGAAGGAAATATAGATATAAAGATGAATAAGTTGAAGCAGATGGAGATGAGACATGGGAGATGGGGAAGATTTGGTCCAAGGAAAATGAAGATGAAGGAGATGAAGAAGATAATTCCGATAATAATGAAAATAGTTTCATAATTATTTTTTTATATTTGATATGGCTATTGAATGCTATTGAAAATGTTGTTCCAGTTGTCATCACAGGTGGAAGTGAGGAGTTGAGGATAACACCGAAATAACATAAACGTGAGCAGGAACGTCTTAGATAAATGAGAATATCATATCTTATATCATTATGAGGCGGCTCGGTGGTCGAGAGTTCTGAGTTCGTGAGAAATCTCTCACCGAGGCATGAGTTCGAGTCTTACTCAGATGTGTATATCATGTACAGGGTGGGAAAAATTGAGCGTTTCCACGGGCTATCTCAATAACTAAAGGAGTTATCAAAAAACCGATATACATATTACGAAGTTGATTTCAAAGGAACATAACATGGCGCATTCGGAATTTTGATATACCAAACGAAACACCAATCTACCTCTCTCAGACTTGAAAATCTAAAGCACACCTCTTGAACACAGTATACCCTCGAAATTCTGAATCATCATAATCGACAATGATATTTGCTTCAAATCACATTGCAAAAATCTAACTACCTCTCTACACTCGAAATGTTTCCAAATTAGAAACTTGGAAAGTTTATTCATCTATTTATCTATCTATATATTTATCTATCTATCTGCCTCCTTAGAATAAAGAAAAGAAAAGAAAAGAAAAGAAAAGAAAAGAAAAGAAAAGAAAAGAAAAGAAAAGAAAAGAAAAGAAAAGAAAAGAAAAGAAAAGAAAAGAAAAGAAAAGAAAAGAAAAGAAAAGAAAAGAAAAGAAAAGAAAAGAAAAGAAAAGAAAAGAAAAGAAAAGAAAAGAAAAGAAAAGAAAAGAAAAGAAAAGAAAAGAAAAGAAAAGAAAAGAAAAGAAAAGAAAAGAAAAGAAAAGAAAAGAAAAGAAAAGAAAAGAAAAGAAAAGAAAAGAAAAGAAAAGAAAAGAAAAGAAAAGAAAAGAAAAGAAAAGAAAAGAAAAGAAAAGAAAAGAAAAGAAAAGAAAAGAAAAGAAAAGAAAAGAAAAGAAAAGAAAAGAAATAGGTACTTCGCGCATTGTTTTGTGCAAGGTATCAGGTAACGTAGGAAACTGAAAAAAGTGTAACTCCGCAATTTGTTTTCTATGCGCGAACCTTGTCATTTTTTTGTAGGAAAAAGTTTGAATAGATATTTTTGTCTTTAGAATCACGAAAGATTCATATATATATCGTTGATTAGAATTCTCTAGATAGTTCCTGGATATATTCAACACGTCACATTTTGACATGTGAAAAAGATAATAAATATGAATTTCGATCACACAAGTATAGATTCAGATATAGTAATTGAGGCAAATAAAGCAATTTGAAATTCAGTATTTTATATATTCGAGATCAATGGTAACGTGAAGTAGGACGTTCCAAAACCCCACCATTCTTGTTTATTCTTGTTTATTTATTCATCCACGTTACAAAATTGAATTCATTTGTAGAAAGTGAAGACAAGGCAGAGTATATAGGTAAAAATTTGAATTAGAATGATACTATACAAAAAAAAATACAGATTAAAATTAAACTGGGTGAAGACTGCTTCCCCGTGGCATAGGCATAATTTCTCTTTGTTTCACTATTTGCATGTAATTTATTCATTTATTTTATTTTCCAGATTTGTCAATTCATGAATCTATATAGACTCAAATGATCCCACTCCGGCCCCAAGGTATTCCCCCCCCCCCGAGTAGAAGCAATGGGATAACAGAAATTTACGAATTTTTTTCTTGAAAAGGATGAATAGGTGTATCTTTGATATTGGCAGGGAGAATATTATACAATTTTATATCTATAGAGTTCAGATGTGTTCAAGCGATGTCTAATCGGTCGAATCAACTTACAATTTCTTGTAGTGTAATTATGAAAATTCTCATTTCTTTGATTATTATATTCATTTTTATGGATGTCTAACAAACAATTGAGGATGTAGATACACGGCGAAAGAAGTATTTCATAATTTACGAATATTGGACGACAACTATCTATCTATAATTCGCTTTCGCAATTATTCTCAAGGCTCTATTTTGGAGTCTGAATATTCTCATGGAGTCAGGTGCGTTTCCCCAGATAGTTATTCCATAGTTAATAAAGGAATGAAATAGTCCAAAATATGCAGTTTTTGATACTGTTATGTTAGCAAATCTACTCAACTTTCTTGATAGGTAAATATTGGAGCTCAATTTTTCACTCAAATGCTCAATATGAGCTGACCACTTCAATTTATCATCCATGACAATACCAAGTAGTCTAACTTCAGAACCTTTGGCAATAGCGTTATCAGTAGAGAATACAATATTTTGGGTTTTATTGTTATTTAATTTCAGACAGTTGGAAATGAACAATGTTTCAGCTTTTGATTGAAAAACTTTGGAAGTATTGTCTCAATCATCAATTCTTTCATCAGATATACATAGATAGTACAGTCATCTGCATAACAAATACATTTAGTTGGACTCATATATAATGAAATATATCATTGACATGACTCAAATGCTCAATATGAGCTGACCACTTCAATTTATCATCCATGACAATACCAAGTAGTCTAACTTCAGAACCTTTGGCAATAGCGTTATCAGTAGAGGATACAATGTTTTGGGTTTTATTGTTATTTAATTTCAGACAGTTGGAAATGAACAATGTTTCAACTTTTGATTGGAAAACTCTGGAAGTATTGTCTCAATCATCAATTCTTTCATCAGATACATAGATAGTACAGTCATCTGCATAACAATACAATAGTTGGACTCATATATGATGAAAGATATCATTGACATAGACGATAAATAGAAGTGGCCCAAGGATACCCTGAGGGACAGAACAATGGTTATCCATATATACCGATTGTTTCCTCCCATATTTATAAGTATGATTCGATTAATTTCAGAGCTGTTCCTTGTAGACCATAAAATTGTAGCTTCGCTAAGAATACTAGGTAAGATACACAGTCGAACGCCTTACCCAAGTTACACATATTAACTATGGTATGTTTTTCCTTTTCAAATACATTAATAATGTCGGATACCAGTTTTTGGATTGCTTGAACAGTAGAACAGTTTTGTCTGAATCCGAATTGACTCTCATGTAGCGTATTCTGTCGAGTGAAAAAAGATGTTAAGCGGTCTTTGATGATTATTTCTAATATTTTACCAGTTTTTGAGTGTTTTTTTCTTTTCGCTTGAAGCGCACGTAAGGAAATCCCTATAATGTTCAAAGAACATCGTGCGTTCCTAGGGAGGATAGGGACAGGAGGTAGGTATCGGAAGTTTTTTTAACTTCTGGAGATTAAATGTTGTTGGGAATACTTCCTCAGGCATGATATGACGTGTCATAATCATTAGACAAATCAAATTGAATTCCATCTAGAGATAGACCGCCTGAAGCACAATTCGATGAATGACACTTTTAAATATATGCGTTATATGTGGATGAAATAAATATAATATGGAAGCAATGGTTCATTTCCTCCAATAATGTGTGTCCAAACTTCCCACGCTAGAGGAAATATCTCGGGAAATATATACCTTCGGTCTCTCGACCTATTATGATCTAGGGCTGATTGCCATGATAGAACCATCAACTCCTAGTAAGTATGAAAAATGAACTGATGTGCCGAGCGATTATTTCTCATGGCTATATATTGTCCGTGAATGAATATGTGAAAATGGCAGAAGGATCAGCAATAAAATAAAAGAGAGAGAGACCACAGAATAAGAGACAACATTTGAAGTTAGGTGAAACAGAAAACCGAGATGAAGAGGAAACAGAAAAGAATACGAAGAGGAAAGATATACTAGAATAAATTGATACGATTTTCTGAAAGAATTGTTGGAGCAACGCAAGAATAATCGAAAAAGCTAAAAAACAAAGAAAAAAGAAAAATATTGATGACATAGCCTAGATTTTATGATATTATAATGATTCGAAAAACTCGGCTATTATTTTATCACCAGAAAAGCATACCAGCCAGAAGAACCCGACAAGCACAAAAAGATCATCCATTTGTCGCCAATTCCAAGATCTGTCTAATACAACTCTACCGAATACTCGAACTTGCTGTATATGTACGTCAGCGGGATTACATTTACTTCCAAGAACGTTTGAGGGTTCCATAAACATCATTTTGATATTCAATTTGTTTTCATCGTAACAAATCACTCATAATGTGTGTTCACTCTGATTTCCAGATGTCCCCACAATTGACTGCTATTTTATGTCACTGTTTCTGAATGCAAAGTCGCAGAATGTTATCTAGTTCCTAATGCTGTATTCACAATTTGAAACGAAGTTTTGTTGAAAACTACACCTTTTTCAACTGTAATTCAGAAAGTGTAACTTATAATTCAGATTAGTAAAATGTAGGTCAGAAAGTGCAATTTGTAATTCAGAATAGTTAATTGTAATTCAGAATGCGTCAATTGTAATTCAGATTAGTCAATTGTAATTCAGAATGCATAACATGTAATTCAGATTAGTGAAATGTAGTTCAGAAAGTGTAACTTGTAATTCAGAATAGTCATTTTGTAATTCATAAAGCGAAATTTGTAATTCAGAAAGCATCACTTGTAATTCATAAACACTATGGATTCAAATAGGGGTAGGGAATAGAAATCAACGAATGGTTTATTGTGTGGTGAACATCTTATATTTATCGACCAACGGGCATATCTTGAAATTCCAGAGCTGCATGCAGCATGGTGAATGGTGGTGTGTTGTGCAATTTATTTGACATTTATCTGATATTTCGAGTTACTTTCTATGACAACATGGCTTTGATTGTTGGTAACTTGATTTACGTTAAAGTCTCAAGGAGAATGGATGCATACGGGTTGCTCCTAGTTTCTGAATCATAAGTGATACTTTCTGAATTACAAGTTATGCTTTCTGAATTACAATTGACGGTTTCTGAATTACATTTCACTATTCTGAATTACCAGTTACACTTTCTGAATTACATTTCACTAATCTGAATTACATATTACGCTTTCTGAATTACAATTAACTAATCTGAATTTCAAGTTATACTGTCTGAATTACAAATAACTATTCTGAATTACAACTTATACTTTCTGAATTACATCTTATACTTTCTGAATTACAATTGAAAAAGGTGTAGTGATGCCCTATGTATGATTTTTACGAATAGTGTTGCATGATTATATTTTCCAACACTCAATCAATTTTCAATCGCCATTAACAACTTTTCATTCTGATTGTTATATCCTATTCCATGTCTTTTTTCTATTAGGAAATCCCAATTAGAACTCCGTGGGAGTGGGATGATTTTATGCGAAATCTCAGATGTTGAGCACTTGATTCATTATTTTATATCAATCTAGACATTTTATTATCGAGTTTCTCAAGTCAAACATCCACTGAAAATAATTTGCGAGGCAGTCATATATCTACATCATATTCATGCTGTTTACTCAGTGAGAAAATGTATGTTTATCCGTCGGACGCAAAGGAATAATATGGAATGATAAATGCAAAAATGCAAATCATTCATTCAGGTGCCTTGACGATTGTAGCCACCAAAGCAGTACATATCATGAAGAAAATCGAAGCAAATACAGACATAGATAGCATGAAACTGAAAGAAAATAATGGAGGAGCAATAAAAAATTTAATTAATTCAGGCACTCGTTACGAGATGTATAATAATTGTGCAAACGACTATTCATGAATACATCTGGTAACCTCTGCTTCGAAGTCTTCAGGAACTTAAACGTGAGCTCAGGCTAGTTTAGTTATTGATGGAAGTGGGTGGTTCTAACTGCGTAGAGAGCCAAAGGCCAGTTTCTAACTGACTTGGTTAATGATATGCTCCCTAGATTCTCCGAAGATAAGACGTTGCTACTCTTTATAATGTTTATTATCATAACATGAAAATTGTTTGTTTAATTTTCTTGTCACACGCCCATTACACAATAATTATGGAAATGATGGCGGAATGGTAATCGGTGAAGAAAAGGAAACAGTAATAATGATGAATACATTAGTGATAGACGATCAAAACAATATGGTGAAAAAAGGAATAATATTTTGTTATATTCGATGAAAAAAATTATTTGAAAAGGCGAACATAGTATATGGCATAATTGTTCCGAATGATAATAATTATATACCCAGATATCACCAAGGGGAACGATATGGATGAGAGCAAACTGCTCCTATTGGTCGATGTATTGCTCACTTCATTGGTACTTTGAACCAATATTGGCTTGAACACAATAGAAAATGGGTTTTTGAGTTGCTATAGACAAGATGAATTATTGAAGATGAGCAATCCCAGAACCACAGATAGTGAAACACCAAAATATGGAGATTGAGCCTAATATGACTATAAGAAAAAATGGCAATAGTCGTTTTTGATATTTTGACCGCTTCAACAAATGACAATTGAGTAGGCCTTAAGAATCAGGATATTTCAGATTTGTCCACCGTTTTGAAGAAAGCTCGTTGAGTATTATGATATTTTTTTGTTGTCAAATTGTTCCATATATTCAAAATCAGAAGGGCGTTACAGGTTGATATGGCCAATACTCTATGTTAAACAAATCAATATAAGTATATATATATGTATGTACATATAAAACTAGTAGTGACTGATGAGGAGAGAATCGCAAAAAAAGAAGGTATTGAGAAACATCTCCAAGAGAAGACGTTATCACGATTGGAAAAAAACCGTGATAATCTCTGACCGTGAAAGGTGACCTTTTATAGCGATAATTGCTCGGCCCAGAACAAAGACAAATATTTGATGTCCATGTACCTATACGCCATTGAAAATTTCGATGTAGAACGAATCACACATAAATATCTGATTGTGAGTCATACAGAAAATGAGGGAGATTCTATGCACTCCTGTATAGAAAAAGAAAGGAGTCGAATTCTGAAAAGTGGACCAATTTACGTTCCTAGTGAGATAGTCACCATCACAAAATCGGCCAAGAAGAAAGGAACTCCATATTCTGTTACAGAAATGTCAACAGAAGATTTCGTCGACTGGAAAAAAGTAAGTGAAGTCATGGGAAAAAATTACAACATCGATGAAAATGGAGACAAAGTTTCCTGGAATGAATTCAAAGTTGTAATGATGGATTAGGAAAATCCGAACAAATTTTTTATAAGACCTCCTATTCGACAGAAGAATATCAAACTAATGATAATAATAATCATGATCATGAATCTGATCAAGTTATTTTGTATGCGTCTGTTTTTCGTTCAATAAATCATTTTTCTACTATTTACCAATTATTTTTTGTGATAAGCTGATTATTCCTGAGGAACACTAAGTCAAGATATAAATTAATTTCCATATATACAGTCTGTCCAAGATAAGGTTGCACAGCATGGGGATCTCGGAAACGGTAGGAGATACGAAGTCGGTGGAATGGGGAAAAAGTTGCGCATTCGGAGGCTCATACCGACAGCCTTTGGGAATTCTCAAAATTGTTTTAAGTCTTCCAGTTATATCGAAAAAAGTGAAATTTTGGAATATCTATTTTATTTTTTTTCTCCGTTATAATAAGACATACAGAAAAACTGAAAAAACCTTTTCATAGCAACTTCTGATGACGTTTAACGTGGTGATACCAATTTTTTTATGCGACGTTTCGTATTCGTAGAACCATCACCAACTTTTGTTTATCAAATACGGTCCTGATAATTCTTTCACAGATTCTGAAAGCTTTTTTTATTATGAATTCAACCATGTATTGAACAAGCTGGTTTGAATGTGTTTCGACCTATTTTTAGCCATCATCAATGTTTTTTTCGAAATTCCAAAGAAAAAATGCAATCAGTTTCACTTATTTCTGAGTATTCAGTGTCAAACATTGATGGACTAGTTATTCAATACTGAAGAGTGAAAAAACAAATCCACTAAATTATTCAATGCAGCGCTTCGAATTGTTTATGAATTGTATTCATATTTTAATCCGAAGGAGCTTGTCATAATTAAATTTTTCGAACTAATTATTCCTATAAGTCTATCAATCCGGACTAGTTGATGTGATATTAGTTTGTTTGCTAATTTGTTCTTCGAAATAAGTGGAACTGATGGCATTTTTCCTATGGAATTTCGAAAAAAACATTGATGATGGCTAAAGATGGTTTAAAACACATTCGAACCACCTTGAATAATACATGGTTGAATTTAGAATAAAAAAAACTTTCAGAATCTGTAAAAAAATCATCAGGACCGTATTTAAAAAACAAAAGTTGATGATGGTTCCACGAATACGAAACGTGACACGAAAAAATCGGTATCACCACTTCAAACGTCATCAAAAGTTGCTATGAAAAAGTATTCTCAGTTATTCTGTATCTCTGATGATAACGGAGAAAAAAAAAATTCCAAAAATTCACTTTTTTCGATATAACTCAAAAACTAAAAATAATTTTGAAAATTTTCGAAGGCTCTTGATATGAGCCTCCGAATGCGCAACTTTTTCCCCATTCAACCGACTTCGTATCTCCTACCGTTTCCGAGATCCCCATGCTGTGCAACCTTATCTTGGAGCTTCACGAATATTCCCACAAAATATGAGATGTTTTCAAAGTCTTCTGATTATTTTGAGATGTTATCTAGCCAGTTGAGAGAGGAATATGGAAATACATCAGGTGCACTACTACAAATACAAATAAAAAACTGAAATTCGCGTTATTGTGTACCTTGATTGCATAATAGGCCTTTGGTCGAAAAATGAGGTCTCGCCTCAAATTCCATTTCGACCCTCATAGTCACCCTGTATTAATTGTGTAGTAATATGTGATAGTAATTTTCTTCATCACTGTACCAGAAAAAAGTGAGGTTGTTATATTCCTTGAATCGTTCCACATTATTCAAAATCTTATGATTGCCACAGGAAAACGCCATAACATCCACATAATCTTTATGTCGTCAATAATATGTGGAATATGATCATATTTATTGAGAGCATGGAGAATAAAATGAGCACTGTGAAGTATGTCTGATATCCGTTCCCATCCTGATATATCTAGCTGACGGCATATCACCAATAACTCGTTTGTTTGGAAAAAAGTATTTGCGAGATTGGATATCATTGGATCGCCATACTTCGCTCGGAAAAACTATGATGAGTGTAAGACAATACTGACAACTGAAAAAACATACATTTCATTTATTACTCAATATGCGATTAACTTTTTGGTTAAACTTCATGTTACAGCGATTTATTTTCAATATTTAGTGAAAGAATTATGAAACTCTGAGTAGTCAAAGGATATGACCGTGAATATTAGGAACCTTTCGAAATTTCAGCAATGATTAATAATGACGTGAAGAATATTGAGGTTCTTCAGTAACATAAAGCGAATTGACCATATGTAGTCGAATGTTAGGTTATATGAAATAATGGAGGTATCAACTGTTTGAGAAACTAGAAGTTAGAAATACATACACAAAATTATTGAATGATTGGATTCGGGAATATTTCCAATTTATTCGAATGATGACGAAGAATTAACAGTACTGAAGAATCTAACAAGCGATATCTCATAGTCTAGGTGACGATGCCGATCGATCTGATGCCAAACAGGTATTTACAACTTGAAATGCTCTCATTTTCTTCGCTGAATTATGGAAAGATATTCCTCAGTTTCCACGCTATAGTGATCACATTAAATCATTGAAGTCTTGTCCAGGAAGTACAAAATAGGAGTAGGGTATGCCTATATAAAGCCTAATAAGTAGATCGGAGACTGAGTTGTTAATTACTGAGAGAATTGTATGTCCAACAACTAATTATCCTTATAGGAATCAGATTAGATGTGACAGTGTACTACAAATTACGTCCAGCGGAATAAATTAAAGTTAATCGGGTATTATCTTTTCGAGCGCTTTACTTTTCTCCTTTATGTTGCCTAATAAACATCACTTTCCCAATTATCATATGCTAGGAGATGTCACTTTCTTTGATGTTTAATATGAACTGCTTCTGAAAAATATGTAAAGTATTTAATTATATGTATAGGAAGGAGATTTTCAAGATATAATTGAGTAATAATGTGAACTATTTGGAATATGATAAATTGAAATTCGATACATAAATATATAAAGAGGTCTTTCTTGTGGAAATGTGACTGAAGTAGGGAAGGTATTGTTTCTCTTCGATTCAACAATCGATATATACATATATAGTAGGTTTTGCTTCAAGTTTAACTTATCCTCAGACTAAATAACAATAGATAGACACCACATTTCTTTCATAAATCATTGAGAGGTAGGTAAATGCTCACAATCCCAAATGTTAAACACGAAATAATCTATAGTATGGCGAATGGTGGAGGTGAATTATTGATGTTCTCAATATAATATAAGTATTTTAAATAATTAGAACTCGCTCTTCATTGAAGAAATCTAGTCCATCAACAAAAACGCCACTGGATCACGTTTAGAATTATCTGTCTTAGGGTCATAATACTGAATGAAGTACATCAGGAACACCAAAAATGAATCATACTTATAATGGTCGAAAAACCATCGAAAACGAAATTAATGGAAAATTTCAGAAGCTACAACGTTTATCGCTCCTCTACTGAGGAAACTTTGTGGTACCACGTTCATCTTGAAGTAATAAATCCTAGTTTTCGTTCTTCATTTTTTTTCATTTTTAATAATTTTATATACTTACTTACTTGTAATTACCATAATCTTATTATTGATATGATATCTGTATTTTTCGTAATTTCACTGTATTTGTGTTCCATGTATTGATTGTTGTAAACTAGTCATTGACTAAATAAAGGACATACATACAACGATAGCAAATTAATTTATATTCATTAGTCGTGAGTTTTGGCGATTCATTAGTCGTGAGTTTTGGCGATCATGTATTAATAGGTACCTATATTATCATGTTCTGGAAGTTGTTGAATTTTTTGTCATGAGCTATACATTCCGGAACGAATGAAATATTTTTTACTTGAAATCCTCCTGAATTGTCGACTTTGCAGCGGTTCCGCAGTAAATAGGTAGAATGAATCACTCTTCTCAACTAGTGGCTCTGTAAACCAGTTTCTTATTATTGACTATACTATGAACGGATCCGCCACATTTATTTTAACTCTTTGACTCGAACATACCTATACCTAATGGTCAATTGATTGAGTTCAATTCATCAGAATTATATCAGCAAATCGAGGCAAAATTGAGCCCTTTGATTCTGATCAGAATGCTGCCTCATATTTCAATATAATTATTAATAATTTTAAATGATGAAATTTAATGTATCTTTCTGAATCATATTGAAGTCTTGATGACCGACAGGCACTATATACCTCATCTCATGTTTCGCAACGACCAATGAGAGCAAAGTCACTTCCAACATTGTAGTGTATTGGAATATAAAAGTTACATCAAGAGAAGTAGATTCGAAAATCGTAGGTTTTGACAGCGAACTTGTTCGGGTTAGTATTTGGGAATAATGGAATGAAATATGCCACTAAGACAGGCCCCTTTCACTATATAGTTAGCACATAATTTTTGTGATGTAGGTATCATACTGTATCACTTCGATTAAATCACATCTATGAGTATCCGATGGAATCATCTCTCCTCATTTCTATGTGAATCAGAATGTCAGTATGAATTCAAAATATTTGTGAAAATTGAAATTCTAATTCTCGCAATATATTGTTTATTATATGAATCACACGTTCGAAGCAAATACAATTATTATGAAGATTTTCAGTCTTAGGTATTGAAATTATTAGGAGAAGAATGATGATCTAGAATATATTTTCGAATCTTCTGATTAGTAAAAAACAATAAACTATTATTTTGGAGGAAGGCCCTTTCGTTTTCCTGCTGTTTAGGTTCTCGTTGAAGTAGGTTCTCTACAGATTCCATTTCTTGAGAATCATCGGCAACCCTTTTCAAATATATCTATTTTTCATCAGTTCTATCACAATCCGCAGTTTATACACTCTTGCATCGAATATTAATGTTTTTTTTTTCAATAAAGATCCTGTATACAGAGTGTATTCCTAGCAATAAATTTTGCGAATCATAATCATGTTTTAATATTCAATAATTTACACAATGTTCGCAGTTGAAAAATAGACATTATTTTCACTAAGGCCAATACTCAATCAACTTACATAATTTCCGTTCTGATTACACATCTGCCATCAACCCAATTCGAGTTGAGGTATAATGTATCGATTAGTCGATGTAATTCGAACCGTTCAAAGCCTATGTAAGTACCTACATTATTCCGCTCATTTCCATCGGATGAAGTTTCATAATATCGAAGGTACCTACTTTGTCATCTTCACACCTGAACACTATTCAATATCATCTATCACAATTTTTGGTAACCAGCCTCAAGTATTGTTGTTATTATTATCACTTATGTCTTCATTGTCTTGCTCCATAGTTTCTTCCGTGGATTTCATTTTCACATCATCTTCATCTCTATTGGATAGATCCGAACTAGTTGATGATCTTGAGGAAACATTATCCCTATCAGAAAAATAAGGTGAGTCAATCTTGCTACTTTCAGGAGATATAGGCTTTTCTAAACTCATCTTGCTAGAATCGAAGAGTTTTGGCAATGGCATAGAAAAGTTTGACATCTGCTTCGGCTGCTGAAGATGCTGTAACAGCCTTCCGTCAGTTACTTTTCCCATGAATGATCTGATCTCCTCGAAGTAGGACTCTTCACTGATACTCCTAGCAGTCATATTTCTCCTCTGTAAATTTCTTTCATCTAATATAGTAGGACCATCAGCTTCATGTTTTTTCAAGTGCCTATCTAAATTTGTTTGTTGTCCAAAACATCTCTCACAAAGCGGGCACTTGAATGGTTTTTCTTTATTATGGATATTTCGAACATGCCTTTGGAGGTTACTAGATATACTGAACGATCTCTCACAATAACGGCATTTATAGGGTTGTTCTCCTGTGTGTGTCCTGAGATGTCTAGTTAGGTTGGCAGATCTAGGAAAAACTTTACCGCAAAATTTACATGCGTATCTGTCTTTCACTTTACCCACAGCAGGATCGAATACTTTCGGTGTCTGTGATGCAGGAGTATTCCTCAATATATCAAAAGGTACTTGGTTAACAGGAGGACTCAACATTGATGAGTTCACGAAGGGATACCTCTGTGGATATCCAGGTGGTGACCCAGGATAAGCCATTGGTATCCTAGGGAGATTTTCACCTTTTTGAGCACGATACATCACTTCTAACATCATGGGATGTATGGGTTGAGGAGGAAAAAGCATGCCTGGGTAGGTTGGCAGTTGTTGGCTTAATGATTTCGATAAACTATCAGCAGTATTATTGCTACATTCGATTTGGTTCCTAACTGAATTGTTTTTGTTTTCAACTATCACTTCGTCTTTATCACTACTCACACTAGGGCTAGGGGATATCAAGTTTCTATTCTCGTCTTCTACTTGCCTTCGCACAATCAACAAGGTTGACTTCTTATGTTCAACTCTGAGATCTAATGGTTGTTCTTCTCCATCTTGGGGACCTTGGGGAGGTCTACCTGCTGGAGACATGTGGGGACCAGGGGATCTAGTATTCCTAGAGAGATCGAACGGCATTTCATCTCCAGGTGGTACTCTCACAGAGAGGGGATATACGGCTGCCTGTTTGGGGGAACTGTGACCTCCAGAAGCTACCAGCATTTTCCTTGGGAATGAGTCCTTTTCACGCATCGTGATCGAAGATGTGAGCTGAAGGGGAGGAAGGAAACGGAGCCACGGCAGGCCCGTGTCGACAACACTCATGGAGATACTGATAAATCTGAAACAAAGAGAATGGGACTCTATAAGTTCATGATATTTTCTAGGATTATGGAATATTCAATAAAATACCGCAAAATGTTGATGAAGATTGCTTGAATGACGATAATGCCTCAGGTGTGAGTGGGTATGTCAATTTATCAGGAATATCAGGGAATAATCAACAGAAATATTATCTGGAGCAGATGTTGAAAGAAGCAATTACTTACTATACAACAAAAAATAGTTTTTTTCCCAAGTGGCATGAGAAGTGCCTTTTGTTTGACACTTAACATGCAGAAAAAATGTACCTTCTCTAACTAAGCAGGCGAAGTTTGTTGCTATGCAACTATACAAATAATTTGAATGAAATTGGTAATCAAAATTGACACTGACATTGGGTGAACACAGAATGATGGAGTGATTGATAAACGAATCAAATAAAATTGGTTTCATAACTTTTGGAGCAAAAAATATATGTTTCACATAGCAGCAAAATGGAACAGATAACAGTTTTTTCCAAATAGCATAAAAAGTAGCTTTCCTCCATAACACTTAACAGAGGCAGCAACGGTAGACAGAAAAAGTTTGTTTTCGTGCAACGTTTCCTGTAATAGAATTAACATTGGTAATCTTAATTGACACTGAGCACAAAATAATAGAGTTTTCAATAAAGAATCACACATAATTGGTTTCATAACATTCGGAGAAAAAATTATGTTTTATATGGCAGCAAAGTTGATTTACTGCCTTGGAGGAATTACGCTTCGCTCGTCAATGCACTATCAGCCGCGGCAGAGTCAATCTACTACTTTCATATACACTCATATAACTATTTTTTCATCGATAATATAGGTGGGAAGAGCTGGGCAAAGTGAATATTGTTCTGAATTGTTGTGCCTTTTATTGAAAAGGATAGCAGTCATGATCGTCATAAAAGTAGATCAGAATACCCCCTGCCGAGACTTAATAATCTTTTATGAATGAAAAAATCATTGGCTCATCAGTTGAGTACGCTTCAAATGCGCTAGTTTCGTCCTATAATTTCTTATGTGTTTCAATTATTATCATATCATGATATCAATGATAGCACCAAATTGAATTCGTTTGCATATAACTCTTTCTGAATAAGGTGTCATATTTCATCATAAACATACCTCATTTCTCAAAATGTGATGATTATTCGAAAAATACTCACTTCATTATTATTATATCCACATGTTTAAATGACACTCGGTCTCGTAGAAATCGAATGGATCTCAACGGTGTTGTTTACGATATTGTTATCGATGATCGAAATGAATCAGGCAGAATCAAGTCAGTAGTGTACCTACCTGTGTATCAACACAAGATGGCCGCCGCCGGAAGTGACGTCACAACCGTTCCTGTGGTAGAAGGTGTTGGCTGCACGGAAGTGACGTCACAAGATGGCCGCCGCCGGAAGTGACACGTGACAAGTGACAGATGACAAGTGACAGATGACAAGTGACAGATGACAAGTGACAGATGACAAGTGACAGATGACAAGTGACAGATGACAAGTGACAGATGACAAGCGATAGGTGACAGATGACAAGTGACAGATGACACGTGACAGATGACAAGTGACAGATGAAAAGTGACAGATGACAAGTGACAGGTGACATGGAGTCCAAGGGGTGACAGATGGCATGGAACACAAAGAGTGACGAGTGACAGATGGCAAGCGATTGGTGACAGATGACAGATGACATGGAACACAAGGAATGACACGTGGAAGTACTCTGAACTTAGCTCCCTAGACTCTAGACTCTAGAGCTTATGGGCGTGTACATTCTTCTTCTTCTTTTCGAGAGGTGATGGATGACGTCACAATCTAGTGACTGTGCTCACCAGATTCAGGTTGGTATTACTACAATTGGTAACACTTTGTTTCAAGGTCACCCGATATGCATGTTGCAGGTGGTCGATGAGTCATCCTTATCTCGACTTCATAGAACAATGCCTCCTTTGTTTGCCATATGTTATCTAGCCTTCCTCTAGAACAATGCCGCCTTTGTTCTCTCTATGCCACAGCGTTTCTTGGAATTCCGGCTATTGGGAAATTGCGACGCAATATACGAGAACAATGCCGCCTTTGTTTGCAGGTGTCCGATTACGTAACAACCTCATCCGATTGCATCATCCTTATCTGTGAGAGAACAATGGGTCCATTGTTCTGACGCAGGTGGCCGATGAGTCATCCAACAAAGCCTCCTTTGTTCTCGCTGAGAGATATTCTTGTAACCTCATTTTGTTAGCAGGTGGCTGATGACTTCACGAGCCATTCAAGAATGGAAAAACTCTAGAGGTATACAGGGTGTGTCTGAAAGTGAGGTTCATGCTTACATCCTGTCGAATTTGCTCAATAGCTCATATCCTGGTGATTCTAACCTCACTGAAATCAAACGGTCATGTTCGGCTCTCATGGGTGTCCAATTCCGTAACAACCTTATCCGATTGCATCATCTTTATTTGGGGTCAATTGTTCGAGTGCAGAAGGCTAAAGTTTCACCCAACAATGTCTCCTTTGTTCTCGCTGAGAGATATCATCAATCTTGCAACCTCATTTTATTAGCAGGTGCCTGATGACATCACGAGCCAATCAAGAATGGAAAACTTGCTCAATAGCTCATATCCTGGTGATTCTAACTCCACTGGAATCAAACGGGCATGTTCGGCTCTCATGATATTGTATACTGTCCCATTATAATCATAATGCTATCATCCTCGCCGAATACGATATATAACATATGCCTTGTACGATTGACATTAGACATATGACAGATAACGCTTGATAGATAATGCATACCTTTGGTGGTACTCCTGGTGCTTTAAACCTCACCCAGAGCAAACGCTTGAGACCACCCCCCTTCTTCACCTTCCGGGTTGGAAAACGTGACTCAGCCGACCAATCAGAGACCACTATCACATTTTGAAGATATCGTGATGATATTTCCGGTGCTCCTAACGTAGCCGAAAGCAAACGATCAGGTATAACAGACTTAAGGGAGATGGCGTATGGCAGATGACAGATGATAATGAGGAAATCAAAATCATAATATACAGGGTAATACAAATAGTCAGAGTCGAATGAAAAATCGAGAAAGACATACGCAGGATGACTAGGAAAAAAAAAACTGAATCGTAAACACGTTACCAAAACGTCACAGAAACGCCACGAAAACGTTGGAAAGAAGTTCAAAATCGTTAAAAAATGATAGATACTTCCACGGGAAATGTTCCTCAGAAATCTCTGCTATAATTCCATCACTAGCAATACCAGTCAGACGACCTCGACATGCCCAGTCAGCAAATCCTTTCGTCGTTAACCTTGAAATATGTCGAACAACACTCTACCAAACTCATTCAAAAGTTGAAACACCTACCTTCCCTCCCTATCCTCCTTAGGTACGCACGTGACGAATATCATAGGAATTTCCTCTCGTACACACCAAGAGATGAAATAAATAAAAAATCACCATTCACATCATTCTCAGAGGCATCTTCGTACTAGGGTATTAATAGATATATGCTTATTCAAGCAGCAATTCTCCGAGTATGCCATCCTGATATCGAAATAAACCACACATTTCCAGCTAAAGGCACGCGCGGAAACTTTAATCAGTTTGCCTACCTAGAACAGTGTTGTCAGACGTTGCAGAATGATCGATATTCCAATGAAATATACACGTTCCGATGCACAACTCTTTTCAGCCATTCAACTATTTCAATTGAAAAAGGATACACGGATCTGAGATTGAACATCTATAGTAGAACGTTGACGTACGTAACATATAGAGTTGGTATAAGGAAGAAAAATTAGTCGAAAAATATATACAGGGTGGAGAAGGGAAACAGGTGAAAAACCTCAAGTGGAATTGTAGTTAAGGAACATCTGATATGTATGAGACATCTCTAGAACAGACTTTGACGTATACCATATACAGGGATATCTGAATAAAGTATGACCTGCGACAAATCAAATAGAGTTATCGACAAAATATGTATCCTCAATTTCATTTTATATTCCTAATAACATCGACAAGGACATGCTTTGGGGAAAATGGTACTATGGGGTGAACCATAGAACAACATCGTCATTCTCTTTCATCAACATGATCGTTAGGGTACTCTCTGTATGATCTTTGGTACTCTGAAAGCAGTTTCCATCAAAGTCTGCGAGATATCGACAAAAATGAGAGAATTAATCGGAACAACTCAAGGAAAGATAACTTGAAGAATTGATTGGAATTCGCGTGTGTTCACTCGATGGAAGAAAGAAGTGTATCAAAACGTCCAACATGAGAGTAAAAATATCAAAAAACGTGACTTTCAGAATAATCATTGAACTACTGGTATCACTCTGCCTTTACAGCAACAAAAATTCAATCAACACATAACATGACTGAAGTATAATGGGTGGATCAAAATTAACTCGATAAATGACATTTCTGGCACCATAATACATAGGATAAATCTGTTTTGTTGAAAATTATATACAGGCAGTAATAACAGGAAAACAGTGTGTGAACAATACAGAATAATAAACATTACAATGTCCCGAAAGTGTAGACTATTCACGTAATGTACACGGTCTAACAGAATCCACATGACAGATAGTAGTTGAATATACGTATCGATATATAATAAACAAATCGTTTCTGATATTACATTCGATACAATTCGTGAATAAGGATGTATACAGGGCCTTTCGAAAAATCATCAACAACCCAGAAAAATCATTGAATCAAGTTACTACACAGAAAAAAAACAGTATGTGTCTGACCTAGCATCCAGGAACAATAAACAAAACTTAGGGGGAATAAAGAGAATTGCATTGAACTCGAAGAAAAACAACCTCGATTCGACACCTGCTTTATAGTCAGTTGATATACGAGGTAGAATCAAATGAACTAAGCCGAGGATGATCGAAGTAGATCGAAGATCAACGAAGTGAATCAGTGTTTATTGCTCACCCGAAAAAT